GCTGGGGCACTTAGGGGACTCCCTGGTTGACTCAGAATGGCAGTTCTCAAAGTGTGATCAGTGCAACTCTTACAGTCACTGAGATCCTTCCACAAAAATCCATAAAGTCCTAACAATTTTCATAACATTACTAAGAAATTACTGGTGTTTCTCACCATGTTGATATTTGCTCTGAGGTAATTCAGCTGGGAATTTACCAAGTATCAAGGCTGTGTCATCAAACTGAAATAGTAATTGTATTCTTCACCATCACCTACTTTCAGGAAAACAAAAATAAAAACAAAAGCAGCTTCACTTAAAGATGTATTGATTGAAGTGTTAAAAGTTATTAACTTTATTAAATCACCATCCTTGTGTCTACATCTTCTCATAGTCTCTGTGATGAAGTGGGAGTTATACATAAGCACTTTTCCTACATTCCAGAGTATGATGTTTGTCTCAAGGAAAATAATATGTGTTAGCAGAATGAACCTCTTTTTTATGGAATATTATTTTTACTTGAAAGAAGGAATGACAGAGAAACTGTCTTGGATATTTGGCACTTTCTAAAAAATGAACAACTTGTAAGCCTGTTGCTTCAAGGAAACCAACTGATAGAATTGTTGCCCATGATAAAATGGAATCTGTCATGAGATTAGACTATTGAAAAATCTGTGTCTACCACAAGTCTGACAAACTAAACCAAAACCAAACTCACTGCCCTTGAGTCGGGTTTCCGAGGCGGTATCACTACGGAAGTAGATCGCCCAACCTTCCTTCTGAGGAGTGGCCAGTGGGTTTGAACCACCACCTTTCTGGTTAGCAGTCAATTGCCTTAGGCACTATGCCACTAGAGCTCTAGCAGCCCAAAGTTTACAAACTTTTCTGCTGGAATCAGTGGTAATACTAACAAATGTGACTTTTTGATATTTTATAATGAAATGTGTCAACACTGGAAGATCTGCGTACTTTGTGAATTAATGCATCATTTAAAAAAAGAAAAAACCTCATAGGATATTTGTTCATTCATATTTACATGTGCTGCAAATATATCCATGAATATAGTAGACTAAACAGGGGGCAAAGTTATGAAAACTTCTTAGCCATAACCAAAAACCCTAAGGGAGTGATTCACTGGCCCTGGGGATTCAGGACGATAGTCTCAGGGGAAATTAAGGTCAATTGGCACAACATAGTCCACAAAGACAATGTTCTACACCTTTCTTTTGTGAGCAGTAACTAGAATCTTAAAAGGTTGGAAGTGGCCATCTAAGGTGGAACTATTAGTCCCTCTCCATCCAGAGCAAAGAAGAGCAAAGAAATCAAAGACACCTCGAAACAATTAGTCCAAAGGACTAATGGACCATGTGAACCTGAGACCAGAAGAACTAGATGTTGCCCAGCTACCACTACCAATTGCTCTGAAATGGATCACATTAGAAGGACCTGGACAGAGTGGGAGAAAAATGTGTAACAAAACTCTAAATTATAAAAAAGACCTGGTTTATTGTTTGGATAGAGACTGGTGAAACCTCTGAGACTATGGCTCTTGCTCAAACTTCAGACCTGGAACTGAACTCATTCCTTTGAATTTTCAGTCAAACAACAGACAGGTCTACAAGGTCTAGGTCTAGGAAGGTACACACTCAGAGCCATCAACCACTCAAGATCAAAAAGTCAGCATTTGCCCAAGGACAAAGTTCCGAAGGCAGGAAGAGTTAGGAGAGAAGGAAATGAGAAACACAGGGAGGAAGTGGGAGGAGTGATGTTAATTTGAGGAGATTGCAATCAATGACATGAAACAAAATGTGTTGAATGGAAAACTGATTTGCTCGGTAAACTTTCACCCAAACCACAATAAAAAGTTTTTTTTTTTTTTTTTTTTTAAAACCTCACGCATTACTACAAGAGTCATTCAATGTGCAAGATAGACCTATGGTTTTCATGAACAGAATATGAAATATTCAACAATAGGCTTTCTGATTGCAATTAACCTTGAAAACTACCACTTGTGTAGCTTTAGTGAACTTATTAAAGATGAACATTCGAAATTGCTTGGAAAGGCTATTATAAATACTCCTCCCTTTTCCAACTTTCTTTGTGTATGATGCTAGATTCTTTTTTTGGTATAGACCTCAACCAAAATAACAGATTGAATACAGAAGCAGATATGAAAATCCAGAAGTCTTCCACTGACACAGATAAGAAATAGATGTGCAAAAATGTAAAATGATCACTCTTCTCACTGTATTGTTTGATTTTATAAAAATATTTTTTAATGAAAATATATTATCTCTGTTAATGTTTAATTGGTTTAATATTATTTTAAATTAATTTAAATTTTTAATTGTTTCCATTTATTATATGCTTAAAAGGAGCTCTGGTAGCATAGTGCCTAAGGCACTTGACTACTCACCAGAAGGCTGGCGGTTCAAACCCACCAGCTACTCCTCGGAAGGAAGGTTGGGCAATCTACTTCCATAGTGATACTGCCTCGGCAACCCAAGGAGGGGTTGCTATGAGTCGGGTCTGACTCGATGGCACCTAACAACAACAACAACAACAACAACAACAACAACAACAACAACATATGTTTAATATCAGTAGCTATCACCCATATAAAATTTCTTTGGGTTCCTCATTAAGTTGTAAAAGCAAATGGATCCTAAAGAGGTGAGAGACAGGACACAAACAGACATATGCATAGGGAGCTCTGGTAGCATAGTGGCTAAGACACTTGCCTGCTAACCAGACGGCTGGCGGTTCAAACCCATCAGCCACTCCTTGGAAGGAAGGTTGGGCAATCCTACTTTTGTAGTGATACTGCCTCGGAAACCCAAGGAGGGGTTGCTATGAGTCGGATTTGACTCGACGGCACATAACAACAACAACAATATTCATCACAGCACAATTTGCTATAGCAAAGAGATGGGAACAACCTAAATGCCCATCAACAGAAGAATGGATAACCAAATTATGGTACATTCACACAATGGAATACTATGCTGCATTAAAGAACAATGAAGAATACGTGAATCTCACAGCGTGGAGGACATTATGCTAAGTGAAATAAGTTAATCGCAGAAGGACAAATATTGTATGAGCCCATTACTGTAAAAAGTCAAGGAGGGGCTTGCTTAGGGAAGGGAATTCACTTTGTAGGTTACTGGGGATGAGAGGGAAGTGGAGGGGAAAATTTCAGTCTAGGTGGGGGCCACACATTGAGTTGGGTAAGGGGAGGGAGGGTATGGAAAGAGTGTGACCAGCATGATAACACTGGGGAAAAGGAGGATCCCGAATTGTGCACATAAGATAAACATGACAGAGGCTAATGCCAGTATATCTGCAATACTGCATTACCATTAACACCAAACACCAGGCTACAGATGAATACGTAGACAACAGAGAAGATAAGATGGGGGGTCAGTGAACAGGAATATACTCTAGACCAATGACAGATTCAGCTGAGGCTAATCTTGCACAGATACTAGTGACAGAAAATAACGCAATCATTACAGAATCAACAGAAGACATACATAGAGCAATCCCTCACAGATAGCCAGACACTGTGGGGGAGAGATCCACCAGATCTCCCGACTCAGGACCATAGTACTGGGAGGCACCAGACTCAATGGGCCCAACAAAATACACAAAAATCCTGTTGTACAACCTACTTTTGTGAGTAGCGACTGGGGTCTTAAAAGCTTTCGAGTTGCCATCTAAGATGCAGCTAATGGTCTCCTATCATGGGAAGAAAAGGAGAGTGAAGAAAACCAAGGGCACTGGAAACAATCAGCTCTAGGACATGTTGGGCCTTGAGACCAGAAGAACTAGATAGTGCCTGGCTACCAATGCCAACCATTTGAGAAGGGATCAAAACTGGAGATCCTGGATAGAGTGGGAGGAAAAACGTGGGACAAAATTCAAAACACAGTAACAACCAGAATTACTGGT